CCCCAAAACCCCAAAACCCCAAAACCCCAATCCCCAAAACCCCAAAACCCCAAAACCCCAGTGAACACTCAAACCCTGAAAAATAATAGAATTTAATTCAAACATGCACTTCCAGAGACCTAAAAGAAAAGTCAAGCCGAGGAAGTAAGTAGGCAATAGCCCTAAATCCTCTCCGAGTTCTCACAGATTACTCATTCCAGGTCTTTTCCAAGAATCGTTACTAAGAGAGCTATAGAACAAAGTGAATAAAAGGTGAACTAAACCAAAGAATTAGGGAAGGTGATATAGTCACATGGCTTAAAACAAGGAATTGAAAGACCAAGGCTAAAGAGTATCCTTTAAAATTAAATCAAAATTAGGTATACCATGACCATAGAGGAATTTAATGAAGAAAAGGAGTATCTTGAGGATGCCCTCGAGTATGAAAAGGAGACAGTAGAGGTTAATACCTCGTTTAATAAGCATAATTTTCGCCAAAAAATTCGTTTAAGAGGCTCAGTCGATGTGCAACACCACGAGAGATTATTTTCACCTATAAATCGTTACAACAAAGAATTTATCGAGGTAAGCAATATTCCAATTATTTCAATATTTTCAGTTTGTCATAAAGTTAAATCACCTTATGTTGGCTCTATCTTTATCTATTTTCTATAGAGAGGTCGAAACAAGAGGATGCAGATACTTAGGAATATGAAATCGATTGATGAAGACATCCATGTAAGCCCTTACCTTTCATTTCAAAACTCCTCCCTCCTAGGTGTTAGCAACAAGGTGTTTCCTAGAAGGGATTATAGTAGTTAAAAAGCCTTAGGAGTCTATCCTAAACAACAGAATTTATCTCTATTTTTGCTGTTCACCTCAAGGGAGTCGCTAGTATCTTTCCCTGATCTAACCACCCAATGCTGTAATCGCCTCTTAAACATTTTTCGAGTCCTAGGTTTCTGGAAAATAATAATCAGCCATTTTCTTCCAAACTTGCTAAAATTTTAGAAAAATTGAGGCCAAAATATTTCTTTTGAGTAGATAATTTAGAATTTTTATAAAAGCAGTAGGTAGAAAGCTTGTTACTCATAGAACATCTCCTCTAACTTTGCAAGGGCCAAATTATTTACCTAGGCTAAGAGACTTTTACTTTATTGGTGTTAAAACAGTTGCTATATCATTGGCTTACTTTTAGACTCGTCCTACTTAATTATTACCTGCTTCATTAGTAAAGATTCATGATTGACAGGCGGTTTATTGTTAAACTAATATTTCGAATATTTCTGAAACTCAGGATTTTAAGTACTTGATAACAATGGTAATCCTTGAGTGCGGCCAGGCTACGTCCTGGCAGCACTCAGGGATTTTTATTGCCAACAATGCTGCTGAAAATCGGAGTACTTTGTAATAATTTTGGATAGTTAGCCTATTACAGATCTATTCCATCTTTCTGGCCTATCAGTAAACCCTTTTTTGATATTAATACGGAAATAAATATTTAGAAATTCCTGATTTAAATCTTCAAAAAATTCCGGAAGATGAGACTGATACGGGAGTTTTAGAGGGTTAGGTCTGATCATATTCTAATTTGTCATAATCTGTTTGATATTTGCGTTGAGATGCATTATATAATAACCAAGTTGGAATAATGCCCCCTTGGTAAAGTATTCAGGGAGATCACGATTCTACAGATCTCTAATATCCTTGCGAACAGGAGAAGAAAATTTAAGGACAGCCTGACTTCTAGCCTCTCTTTAACAAGTATTCATGTGGGTTTAAGCTTGCTAATACCTCATATTAATCAGAAAGTTATCCCTAGGTATGTTTAAGGTATAACTCCTAGGCAAGGAACAGCCTGGCTTCTAGCTGCCTTGCTAGTGTCCTTAGTACACTTTGTCAACGCTGGAAAATTATTTTTCTTAAGTAAATTATTCCCCAAATAAATTATGAAGTAACCTAACACCATGAAACTTAAGAACATCCAGAAATTTCTAGGTGAAATGGCCTTTTGAGGGCCTGTATGAGTCCTAAATTTATCTCAACTCTCTGTAATTTCCAACGAACCCTATCTAGTGTCTGACCGATTCCGGGATGGTCATGCAAGATTTGGCTAATTATAAATAATGTTCTCCAACTAGTCTATGTCTATCTGAGAAATTCTTTATGAAATATTTTCTAAGAACTGCGTACAAACCTGTTTTGCATGACTTCTTCAAAACTTCTGTAGGAGGATTCTTTTATTGAAATCAACCACCCGAGAGTGGCATTTGATAAATTAGGACACTAACTCAACTTCAACCTTAACCTTCCTCACCTAATCTCTCATACAGCTTTCTCCTTGCCCAAAAATGCCTCAAATCAACCCTCAGCCCTCCCAGCAAGCTCAAAGCACTATCCTCGCTCTCCTCGAAGAACAAGAGGATGAACAGATCCGCTTGCCATTCAAGACTCGTAAATAGCTGCTACCTTCAGCTCTTCGGCTGCTACCCAGCCTTGGGCTTCACCAAGCGCAAGAAGAGAATGAAGATTTTCCAACAAAGCCTTCAGAATAGACGCCTTGAACGGAAAATCAAGAAGTTCAAGGACTTAGTCAAGAAGGAAAAGAAGGAAAAATATCAGCAGAAGGGAAAACTTGGGAAGACCAAGCAGGAGCCACTCGAGTCTCCAGTCCCTCCTACTAGCGCTGATACGACTAGACACAGCCTCAGACGGTCCTTGAGGTAGGTTATACAGGTTATGTTTAGAGCATCGTTTACAGACTACGAGGAAAGCAAACAGAGGTCTAAGAGGAAGTACTATGTACACTTTTTAAATACTAGCTGAGACTCAATTCCTATCTAGTCACAGACCTGATTAGCACAGATTAACGGCTATGTTAAAGTCTATACTTTCATAGTCGTTGCAATTATTTATCCATTTAACCAGATTAATAATTGATTCATGAATTTTCAAGAAAAATAGGTGACTTTGGGGTTTTGGGGTTTTGGGGTTTTGGGGTTTTGGGG